TTTCTGCTATTGCATTATTAGCTATAGAGAAGATACCTGATGGGTTGTGTCATCTATTCCTACTTGCATATAGTTGCTGGATTCAGTTAATACCTCAGCGTCTAAGCTTCGCAATGCAGTTACATTTGCACTTCGGTAACGTAGCTGATGCTCTCATCCGTGAAATCTTCCTGGAACGATTAGCTGTCAGATTACAAATGACATAGAAAATGTTATATCTTGAATTTATTTACACCGGTTGAGTCCCTGTTTGTGTACAGTACAGCAGCAGCTTATCTGTTAAGACCTGTAAAAGTATGATGGAAACATGTGCCCCTGTTGTGTCATCAGCAGTCCGCCCCTATTTGCATCCATAGCTTGCTGTTTTGTTTAACTTATTCCATGTGGTCAGCGCTCAGGGTCAGATACTGTGACTGTGAAATAAATTGTCTTAGACTATGCCTCATCAGAATATAAATCTGCCGCCTAGGTTTACACGTTACAGCTCGATTTTTCTTCACAGCAGTGGGTTACACTGAACACGTTTGTGCGACTTTTAGGCTTGGCAATATGGAAAAAACAAATTCATATCACAATAAATGGAACACCTGCTTCTAATATAGCACAACATCTGTTTGGGTTTGGAAAATCATCAGGCTGTCCAGTTAATATTCATCACATTGGATTGCGATGTAGTGGGAAGTCAAACAGAGCATTTCAGAAATCATTACAGGAGAATCTTGTTGTATCATGATTCAATCAGATTAGGAATGACATCCTCATATACAGTTTAAAATGATTAATAATTGATGAATATCAGTATTGTCCAGATCTTTCTCTCCATAATGTTTTAAAGAGTTCATATAAACACCTTTCTTTACCTTGCTTTTTTTTTTTCAGAAATGCATTTAAAAGTTAAGTAGACTTAGATTGAGTTAAGTAGCTGTCAAATATATATTTACTGTACAGATGAACACAAGCTGCAGATTAATTTTTAAATCGGACTACTGTTGGACCACATATGAAGTTGTTTAAGTATGTCTCAACTCAAGTGCTTTGAAAGTATGAACAGATACATTAATCCATGGCTGAACAGCTCTAACTGTAAAATGTTTTCTCTTTTCAGTTTTCTTTGCATCTGAGAGAAGATTTCAGAGTACCTTTACTGAGAGGAAATCATATAAAAACATACAGCAAGATACCAAAAAGCAGGGGTGTCAAATAAGAAAATCCTTTATTCTCAGTTCCTGAAAGAATTTAGAGATGTGAAGCTTCTGTGGGACCCCTGGGGAGGTGGTGGTTTGGATCAGTGTATTTGTGAATGTCTGAACGCTGACTTTGGTGCAGTGCTGACGTAGAGCCAGAGCTGCTCCATAAGTTGGTAAAATACCTGGATTTAAATGATTTGAATTTGAACAATGAGGATTGCCACTCGCCCGGGGCAAGTTAAGTGCCCCTTTGGGCGAGTAAACCTAGCAGCTCCCTTACTTGAACAGAATGAACGTTTTTCCTGGAGCTTATGATAGAAGTAGCTAAGGAGTAAGCCCTCTCACTTCCTTCTCATCTCGGCTGAGAGTTGCTCAGTACCGATCGGGCACTCGTGAGAAAAGGGTGGATGAAGACGTTCCAATTTTAGTTGGGTGGCGTTAGGGGATGTGGGTGGAACTCCAACTATGTACTGCAAGATGGTCATCATTAAAGGCATGTGACATTTGCAAAGAAAGTTGCTGTGGTACCATAACAAGACCCTCTCAATTAGTATAGGGGAAGGTAAAAATGTACTTTGGGCAAGAAGATTTCTGGCACACTTGCCCGACTGGGAATGTAAAATAAACCATGCAGTGTATTTATAATTAGAAAATAATTGAGAACAACGTGTGATAATGGGCTATTGTACTGTGTACTGCTGAGCCCTCTGAATTGACATGGATGCACTGGAAAAGTTTAGTAGGGCATAATGTCCAACAAATTGAGCGTGCAACTTCAATTGATTGTGTGCACACAAACAAATAAACCTACAGGATGACTTCCTCTGGGTTATGTACTGTTGCTGGTAGGGCTGAACAATTCATTGCAAAATGGCCAAGTGCAAAATCCAAATCACAATAAGTTTTTTTGATAAAGGTATAATGTGTGTCAAAACAGCATTATAATGTATAGTAAAGTACTGTAGTGCTGCAGATCTTCCCTGGCCTGCAAATCTTGTTCTCCAGATGTAATAAAACATGTTTGTTTGTTACAGAACCCAGGAAATATCACATCATCACAATTTTCTTTCAGTGAAAATTAAATTGGTGATGCAAAAAATGATCATTCCCACTAATCGTGAATCATATCGCAATTGCTCGTTCTGTCAAAATAATCACAATATGATGTTTTTACCGTGTTGTGCAGCCCTAGTTGCTGGCCTATGAAGGTTATTAACAAAGGTGTTTCAACAGACAGCATATGAAAATGTTTCACTGACGTCAGCACGTGTAAGTGCTTCCCCTGCCAAACATAAAAAATACAGATATGAAAAAGGATGCTGATATAAATGCGATCATCCTGGGTCTGACTTCCCTATCTCTGCAGTAGTCCCAGTACTACAATAATGTTTTTATAGCTGCTACTTCCAATGACATCTACCTTTTTAAAGCTATAGCTGCCACTGTGGTGACTTTATTCTACTCTCTGATGTCGCACTCAGTCCTGCACCGCTCTCCTCTGTTGTCCTCTTCTTCTGACAGGCTCGTCAGTGCAGAGGAGCTGCAAAAAGGCTGTTGTTGTTTTCTTGATGAGAATGGAGTTGTGCAATGCTCTTTAGCGTGGTGTCAGCTGTAGCGTAGCCTCTGTGGTTTACAGCCAGAGGCAATAGTTTTCTACTGAGTGGGAGAGAGAAAGCAAAAGGCTGAGAGCGCAAAGGGGGGAAATGTGATAGAGTAGGAGGTAGAAGCTCTGAGGAGTGTTTATGCAAGTGAAAAATGTTATAAGCAGTTCTAAGGACGGATGCTTCGGTACTGTTTTAATAACACGTTCTCGTTTTGGATCATTATCAATGGACGTGAAAGATTAAAGTTGTGTTTAAAGCCAGATCATTTCTGTTGACCTTGAGAAATATCTGTGTCTAGAGTGTTGTGTAACCAGAAAAGTGAAAGTTAGACTCATAAATATATATCGTAAATGTATAAAGGTAGCTGTATTTGGAAAATGTGTGGGCACTTTTCTAAGGAAATTCAGCATTATATTCATAGGTATATTTTTAACAGCAAGGAACATTTCAATACATGCTTAAGCCTTCTTTACTGAATGCACTGCTACTCTTGGCTCGTAATTTGCTTGGGAGTATCAGTGCCTTAAATGTTACGTTCACCAGTGAATTTTACACTCCGAGCGAGGGAGAGCGAGGATAATGCCAGGATCGGCGTTGTGTTGCTTTTGTTAAAGTATCCTGCTTGTAGCCAACGTTTTGGGCACATCTCTGCCAGGAACCAATTGGATTATGTGATTAGAGGAAATTATGTGAAGTGGCAGAACACACAGTGAGCAGCAGTGAATCAAGGGAAATGTCTGAGTCAAGGTAATAACCAAAATGTTAG